TCCCTGAAAGCTGCTAAGTATCCTCAGCTCTACCAGTTTAACCGATACTATAGACTCTGGATGCCCAAGCAGTCCCAGGAACCTGTGGTATGGAATCCCTGAAGTCACTGAATTCTTGAGCCAGTATTCCTATAAAATCCTCACAGTTGACAGAGGTTACATTTCCATCAGGAACAGCGTTTTTATTGAGGAGGTAATTCTGCATCTCTTGTTGATCCTGCTGGGGACGCACGTTTGCTCCAGGGCTTTTCTCTGATGGTACAAGAGGTCTCTATGGTGTTTGGGAGGTGATACCAGGCCTCAGGGCTCATACAGAGACTCGTCACCGGGCACAGCAGAGCCTGGTGTGCGCTGTGGCCTCTGTTTACAGTGCCTGGAGTTCCCCCGGGTGGGTGGAGGATCACAGGCCCCTGGGCTGGGTTTGGTGAGTTTTTCTCAGCTCAGCAGTGTGAACACTCCAGATGCCCCTGGGGAGACTGCTGGGCAGCTCTGTTCTAGCAGGACTGCACGCCAGTGTTTCCAGAGATTCAGTTCAGAGCTCATCTCAAAACAAAGGTGGCTGAAGAGATTTTTGTTTCATACTCATTGTTGTTTTTCTCTTCTGCTTTTTGTCTGGCTTTAAACAGTTTGAAAACCACAAGGAGGTCAGCCAAGAGCCTCCTGTGGCACCGGATTCTGTATTTGCCACTTTGTTGAAGGGAGCCTGGGAGAGAAGAAGCAGTACCTTCCTGGAAGATGGTGTTCAGACAAAGTGGAGAGACTTGGCTTCCTGGCTCCCCCAACCTGAGCAGCTTTTGCTGGGAGTAAAGCACGTGCTGCTGTACCCGAAATCCACAGTAGAGAACTTCAGCAGATAATACTGTAGTTATCCTTGGTTTACTTTATGGCACAAGTTACAAATGACTTGACTGCTAAAACTTAGGTTCCAGTGCTGTAGCTCTTTTTCCTTGACTCAGCTACGAGGGTACGCAGCACCATACAAAACTGCACCTAATTTGTAAACAAATATCAGTTGTTCTGATTATTGAAGCTGGGCTTTATTCAGTTGAATTTCGAGTGTGTGCTGCGCCCAGGTCCTTTGTACCAATAGGGTACAGGGGGTGGGGGAACCAGAACTGCACATTCCTTGTGATATGTATGGGATTTTGGGGGGGGGGGGGGGTGTTTAAATAAAAAGGAGATGCAAAATGAGGGAATTGCTTTTACATGTAACTATTCTTGTCCTAAAGGAGCAAGTGTGTGTGTGTTGAAAGAGCCGCAAGCCTTTAGGGGCTGCAATTTGTGTGCCGAGGAATGAGGTGCCCTGAGGAAATGTGTGAGCCGGAGGGAGCCGGGGCCGGGCGGAGGGAGCCGAGCTGTGGGA